AAATATGAGAGATGCCCTCTCAAAAAAAAAAAAAAACAAAGTGGTGTAACATTAACTTTCACAAAAAGCAGAGGGAACCTGGATGTGTATTTGCTAACTGATTGATAACAAGATAACTACTGAACAGAAAAACACAAACCTTGAAAATTCTCATAGAGACCTTATAGGTGCCCCAAATATGCCCAACACCCTAGCCAGAAGCATGGGATATCCCTGGGCATTTCCGTTGTTATAACTGAGGATGAAAGGGAATTCTGTCCCTTCTGGTCCCTTTAGGATACTCAATTATTTCTTCACTGAAGGTTCTTTCTATACAAAACACTGACAACACCAAATGCTGGCAAGGATGTAGAGCAACTGGAATTCTCATTTATTGCTGGTGGGATTGTAAAATGATGCAGCCACTCTGGAATACAGTTTGGCAGTTTCCTACAAAACTAAGCAGACCTATCAACCAATCCCACAGTCACACTTCCGGGCATCTAAGCAAATGAACTGAATCAAATTTACGTTCATGCAAAAACATACACATGTTTTACAGAAGGTTTACTCATAATTGCCAAATTTGCAAGCAGCCAAGATGTCCTTCAGTAGGTAACTGGATAAGCAAACTGGCCCACCCAGTCACTGGAATATTACTCAGCACTGAAATGCAATGAGCTATCAAATCATGAAAAGGCATGGAGGAACCTTAACTGTACACCACTAAGTGAGAAGCCAGTCTGAAAAGGCCACATACTGTATGACCCAAACTCTATGACATTCTGGAAAAGGCAAAACTAGAGACAAGAATAAGATCAGTGGTTGCCAGGGGTTTGGGTGGAGGGATAAATAGATAGGCAACAAGGATTTTTATGGCAGATGAACTATTTTGTGTGATACCGTAAAGGCAGATTGTGTCATTATACTCAACTGTCCAAATACCAAGAGTGAGCCCAGTGCAAACCATAGACTTAGGGTGATGATCACGTGTCATGGCAGGTCCATCAACTGTGACAAATGCACCGTCTGGTGGGGATGCTGATGATGGGGGAGGCTGTGCACGTATGGGGGGCAGGGAACAGGTCCATCAACTGTGACAAACGCACCATCTGGTGGGGATGCTGATGATGGGGGAGGCTGTGCACATATGGGGGGCAAGTAACATATGGGAACTCTCTGTGCCTTCCCCTCGGTTTTGCTGTGAACTTCAATTGCTCTAAAAGACAAAGTCTATTTAAAAAAATAACCAGCCATCCATTAATTGATGATTGAATCACCTAGTGGTACAGAGAAGTCCCTGTGTGTCACACTAGCCCCAGTCAGCACCTCTCCCCAGGGGCCCTGCAGAAGCTGTGAGACTGATTCAATATCAGGAAAGCATTAGCCCATGTCAAATCACGTATTCAAACAGCCTCTGTTTTTTACAAACGTTGAAGTTTGTGTTGCAAACAATAATAAAATTCGTAGGGTTCAAGAGAAATCAAGACCCATTATTGGAAAAGTTTCCTCAAATCTGTCTTCCTCCCTCCAAAAGTGAAATTCAGGTCTCTGCGTTCTGTCATCTGTAAGAAAAAGTAGCATCAGGCCACCCCATCCAGCCTACACGTGCCAGTCCACTGGGCACATTCATAACCGCTGACTTTTGTCTCCCGCTGAATCTTCCAGATGCAACCTTGGACCCCCTGCTTCCCCACAATTCTGTCCCAGTCAAGATCATCTTCAAAAACACTATTTTAAAACCAGCAGAACTCAGCCACCTTCAGAGCCTCCATTCTCCCTGCAAGGAGATCAAATTCCAGATTTCTCCCTTCAGCTTCTGGAAGGATTTGGCCCTTTCTGGACCTTGTGCAGCAGACAGAACTGAAATCACCGAGTATTGTCACCCACCAGTCTGCCTCTCCTCATCCTGCCCT